GGTGAATTTAGGGCGCTGGAAGGTGGATTTGAGGTGCTAGAAGGTGGAATTGGGGTGCTGGGAGGTGAATTTAGGGTGCTGGAAGGTGGATTTCAGGTGCTAGAAGGTGGAATTGGGGTGCTGGAAGGTGAATTTAGGGTGCTGGAAGGTGGATTTGAGGTGCTAGAAGGCGGAATTGGGGTGCTGGGAGGTGGATTTAGGGTGCTGGAAGGTGGATTTAGGGTGTTGGAAGATAGATTTGAGGTGATGGAAGGTGGAAGCTAGATTTCAGGTGCTGAAAGATGGATTTTGGGGTGCTGGAAAGTGAGATTGGGGTGCTTGAAGGTGAATTTAGGGTGCTGGAAGGTGGAAATGGGGTGCTGGAAAGTGGATTTAGGGTGCTGGAAGGTGGAAATGGGGTGCTGGAAAGTGGATTTAGGGTGCTGGAAGGTGGAAGGTGACTTTGGGGTGCTGGAAGGTGGATTTAGGGTGCTGGAAGGTGAATTTAGGGTGCTGAAAAGTGTAAATGGGGTGCTGGAAGGTGGAAGCTAGATTTTGGGTGCTGAAAGATGGATTTTGGGGTGCTGGAAGGTGGAAATGGGGTGCTGGAAGGTGGATTTGGGCCAGTGCCACCATGCCAGCTGGTGGCACGTGGGGGTGGTGGCAGTGCCCCCGTGGGCAGTGGCAGAGCCTTCACTGCATCATCCCGGGATTTTCACAGGTGGGACACGAGGCAGGACCACGGGGATGGAAAAAGGGACACGGGGATGGAAAAAGGGACACGGGGATGGAAAAAGGGACCCAGGGATGGAAAAAGGGACATGGGGATGGAAAAAGGGACACGGGGATGGATGAAGGGACACGGGGATGGAAAAAGGGACACGGGGATGGATGAAGGGACACGGGGATGGCTCAGGGACACGGGGATGGAAAAAGGGACATGGGGATGGAAAAAGGGACACGGGGATGGAAAAAGGGACACGGGGATGGATGAAGGGACACGGGGATGGAAAAAGGGACACGGGGATGGAAAAAGGGACACAGGGATGGATGAAGGGACACGGGGATGGCTCAGGGACACGGGGATGGAAAAAGGGACCCAGGGATGGAAAAAGGGACACGGGGATGGAAAAAGGGACACGGGGATGGAAAAAGGGACACGGGGATGGAAAAAGGGACCCGGGGATGGATGAAGGGACATGGGGATGGATGAAGGGACCCGGGGATGGATGAAGGGACACGGGGATGGATGAAGGGGCGCGGGGATGGATGAAGGGACCTGGGGATGGCTGTGGGGACACGGGGATGGAAAAAGGGACATGGGGATGGATGAAGGGACACAGGGATAGATGAAGGGGCACGGGGATGGATGAAGGGACCTGGGGATGGCTGTGGGGACACGGGGATGGCTGTGGGGACCCTGTGGGGTGCCACGGTGCCGTTCCCAGGCTGGTGAGGAGCTCAGCTGTGCCCGTTCCCCAACAAAGGCTCCGTTTCTGTGGAGGAAGCTGGGCTGGGTTTTGCTGTCCCAGCTTTGCTGTCCCAGCTTTGCTGTCCCGGTTCTGTCCCTGCTCTATCCCGGTTCTGTCCCGGTTTTGCTGTCCCGGCTCTGTCCCTGCTCTATCCCAGCTCTGTCCCTGCTCTGTCCCTGCTTTATCCCAGCTCTGTCCCTGCTCTGTCCCGGTTTTGCTGTCCCGACTCTATCCCGGTTCTATTCCGGCTCTGTCCCGGTTTTGCTGTCCCAGTTGTGTCCCAGTTCTGTCCCTTCCCGGAGCCCTTCCATGAGCCATCCCCGCGGGCCGGGCACTCGGGCCAGCCCCAGACCCGACCCCGCTGGCCCCGGGCCGGGCCGGGCCGGGCCGGGCTGGGCAAAGGAAGGCGGCTCCGGCCGAGCCTTTCCCCGGCGTTTCCCTGAGCGGCTGCGCCGGGCCCGCGGCTCCACGGCCCCCCAACATTGTCCCCAGCCCCCCAGCATTGTCCCCTGGCCCCCTCACCATTGTCCCCCCCCACCATTGTCCCCCCCCACCGTTGTCCCCTGGCCAGTGGGTCCTGGGAGTGTCCAGGAAGTCCTGGAGATGTCCAACAGGTCTTGGGGGTGTCCAGTAGTTTCTGGGCTGTTCAGCAGGTCCTGGGGTGTTCAGCAAGTCCTGGGAATGTCCAGGAGATCCTGGGAGCATCCAGACAGTCATGGAGATGTCCAGGAGGTCCTGGGGATTGTCCAGCAGGTCCTAAGGAGGCCCAGGAGGTCCTCAGGAGGTCCCGGGAGTGCCCAGTGGGTCCTGGGGGTGCCCAGGAGGTCCTGAGGAGGTCCCAGTGTATCCCCACTTTTGGAATTGTGTCCCCACTTTTGGAATTGTGTCCCCAGTGTGG